ATTTTGTTCGAATAACGCCCGACTTTTGCTATCGACTTTGCGTCTGGCCATTTTTTTTTTTTTTTTTTAATAAAATTAATTATACATATTTCATTCGTCTACGCCTAATCCCGGTGCGATTTATTTGTCACGGTGCAACTGTACCGTATTGCCCAGTACCTATGATTGTTTCGAAATTGAATATATACCCTGTTCTACTACTCGTCTCACGTATAACGGTCGAAATATTTTTTTTTAAAAGAGCTGACACTGGTGACGGGAAGCACGTAGGATGTAATATAGTAATTTAATTTGTATAATATGGTACGCAGCGGCGTCATTTCAATTTTGTGAGAAGGGGGCGAAAGATTCGTCGGGCCTATAATAAAACTGAAAGAAACCGCTCGTTAATTTATCGGTCACAATTACATTTTTATCTCAATACAAATATCCTTATTAGATCATTTTATACTCACTATCATAGACATGAATCGCCCGTTTTTATGAAGGACAGCAATGACTAAATAATACGTATAGAGACACATAAATATATGACTTAATAATTATCTATATGAAGATTTAAATTGCTGCGAATTATCCCCTAATTTATGTTCAATTTGCGCCAATATATATGGAGTAAGTATACATATATTTACGAAAAATATAAGCATGCAGCCATGGACATCAGTGTAATCGCAGAATAAATTAAATAAAAATAGACATTCTCCAAAAATGTATATGGACTCTTATGAGAACCCGGCAATTTCAGCTAAAGTACAATCAATGTTAAACAAAATGTTGTGTAGAATTATCACACTTGTCACAGATAAATCTTAAAAAAATTGTAGCTCAGAGTGGCCATATGCAACATAAACCATGAATTATGTATGCAAGCTTGTAGCCTAAATCTAACCCGTAACCGGCCCAATAGAGGCCCACCGATGTTAAGGGGCGGCAAATGCCATCCCTGCTTCTCCCCAAATGACGCCACTGTATGTACGCATCGACAAAGATTCATTGTTAATAAGAAACGATTCAGAGTATAAAAATGGTTAAATGCGTGCTTTGAAATTTGAACATAAAATGCTTATAACCTAAATAATTAATATATTATGATCAATTTTATTTTTCTCGACTACTAAGTACAACTTATCACCAATCCTTATAATGAATTTTAAAAATATCCTGATCGGCAAAAAAAATTTTATACACATAAAAATTAACAAAAAAGAGCTGATACTGGGTATGGGAGCGACTATTGTCGTAGGTGAGAAGTTGGGAAGATACGATACGTAAGGTTATTTCATTTATATCTGTAAGCAACGATAAGCCATTGCTTGACGCAAAACGATTTCGAGCACAGTTCGGTAATATATAATTTGAAGTGCCGTCATTTTTTTTTTTGAAATTTTCGTTTAAATTTAATTTCAAAACTCTTATTAAAAAAAAAAGAAAAAGTCGTCCGATGAGTTGGAAATTTTACCACGTCTAGGTAAGTCCAATATAAGTATTATTACCAAGTTTCAAGTCTGTACGTGTATTTATAACCGAATTAAAGCAAAAAAAAAACTCTCAAAAATTAAAATTGCTTAAAAGTGCATACTCGCCTTGTATTTTATAAAAACTGAATTTTACACTTCCAATATTATTTATTTGATTTTTGATTGTTTAATTGCTTTGTAATGTTGAGGTAATGACAATAAATTATATGTTCAAAATATGATTCTTAATTCAATACTGTTTGTTCGAGATAAATAACCTATCTCAAAAACTTGGTAACCAGCAGAGTAAGTTTTATTGACAAATATACATGTTGATTCAAAATTCTCGTTACAGCTATTTTAGTATGTAAATATACAAAATAGAAAAAAATGTACAATACTAAAGTTTTTTAGTTTTTAAACATCTAAAATAATTGGCATACATATTTTTATTTACTTTCTTTTTTTAGGGGGTGGGGGAGAGGAGTGATTTAGAGTAGACTTTTAAAACTTAAAAGGGAACCTATACTGAAAATGTCATAAATATCTTATTAGACTGAAAATGGTTTAAATACATTTTGGTGTTGAAATTTTTGATTTCTGTTAACCCATTGATTAGATATTTCACTTTTTAGTTTTGGTAGGTGAGTAGGAGGAGAGTAGTGGAACACTAGCTTATAAATCTTATGTGGTGGCCCAGAGTTAATTTCTTACACGATTGTTAAAAATGTACCAGGATTGGAATATTTTAATTTTCTCTTGATATTTATTATGTTAGTAATATGGAATACTCTATTTTATACTTCCAATACATATCTAAAATCGTAAAAATGAAGACATTTTGTAATATGATTATTTTATTTAAAATGTGTCAATTGGTGTGTTCAGATACCTGCAAAAACTAACTCTATACTAATTTTCCTTTGATAATTTAATATGACATATTATGTGGCACCTATTTGATTCATATGATAATTGTATCCACAAAAGAGAAAAAATAAAATAGTATTCCATATTCGGAACATTTTCTATAATATAATATAATTAATATTTGCATTTCGGCATTGTGCCTTTTTTCACTGGTATAGCTTTGATTGTCGTCATCATAAAATTATGTACTGTACTGTTTGATCACTTACAGTAGGTATACATTTCAAATTAAAATGTCCAATCTCACTTCAATTCCCTCCACTAAACGTACACTCTTTTTAATTCTTACATAGTATTTTGTATAATAAATTATGGAGGTATGTCAACTTATTTGTACCTATATTGTGTCTGATATTTATTTTAACAATATCCATTTGTAAGTCATTTGTACAGACAACACTGTCACCAGGTATTGCGAGGCCCTGGACAATGTACTGTTGTGAGGGCTGAATTGAGACCTTACAAATACATTTCAATTTGATACCTCTACCTATACTATACTTTCTTGAACTTAAAATGTAAAATGTTTTAATTTAATTTATTTATTTGATTATAATCCATAATTTATACGAGTATATTGTGGTTTACACATAATAATTTAAATTTAAAATTAATAATTTGGTTTGTTGTTAGAATGTAAACTACTTACTTGAATAAAAAAATAAAAATAAATCAAAATGTATTATATACTTGTTGTAAAAGTAATATTACAGATTGTAAATATATTTTTACTTAAATAAAAAAATAATAAGTTCATAAAATTAAGTATATTTGTATCAATAAAATCCAACTGGTAATCAAAAGTAACTTTTCATAAATAAGTTATATGTATCAAGTTGCATATGAAAAATTACATACTTTGATAATTCACTGTGTTCTCCACATCATTATATTAAAGGTAAATTAAAAGTCAGTAATAGTTATTGTATAATAATAATACAACAAATTCTATAAAAAAAAAATCCAAAATTGCATTTTATTATATCTGATAAGACTTCAAAAAGCCAGGTGTACTAATATATATATATATATAAATTTCTAACATTTTATGCAATGGAAACACTAATTGTATAAAGAACAGAGTATAATATATTTTGGTTATTTGAATTATGTATAAAGATAATACCATACATATTGTTCTTATTAAGTATTATAAACATATATAAATATAAACAAAAAAAAAAAAAAAATATAACAATGAGCAAATTTACAATTTTATATTTTTCTTATATACGTGCCTAACAGTTATAAATCAAAATAAAATTGAAAAGCATAGCTGAATGTATTATACAAAGTTAATTTGATTCACTATTGTTTAGGTGGTTGAGATTGAGAATGTTGAGATACGTAACTCATGCCTTGTGGCAATGAATCAATTGGTACATTATTGTGTCCTGGGCCGCCATACACTTGATTATAATTGGTCACATTTTGCATGTTGGTCATTTGATAAGGTGGCTGTTCATGGATTTGTCCTCCTATATTTGGGCCTGGTACCATGTGTCCGGGATTAACAGGATATTGAGAGCCAGACATGTAGTGTTCGATAGGCAAAGGTGCATAGTTTGTCATCATGCCATTATACATTTGCATGTGTGGTGGATGCATCATATGCTGTGGGGACATAGTGGATGGTTGAATAGGTTCTGGCTGATGATTGGGTGCATAGGTTGCAACTGGATCTTTCATAAAAATATTGTATAATTTTACTGCTTCCAAGAGCTCAGTGCAGAGCTGTGTGAGATGGGAATGTTTCTTGTCAAGATGTTCCAGTTCAGCTTCTATCATTGGCGCCATAGCATTCACCTGTGCTTCTAATATGGCCATTTCTTCGGTATCTGTACTATCGTCTTCTGGGTTAGCCTCACGTAAAAGCTGAAGCAAACAATCAATTTTATTTTCATCAATTTCAACAAATTTATAATCTTCAGCGGAATGTTTGACTTTTGATTTCTTCACATTGACTCGTTCGGCTGTATCTTTTGGACTTGATAAATCTGTTGTCACGAAATTTGCTGGAAATAGACCTTCAGGATGTTTGTCTGTAAATCCTTTCCACCAGTTGGGATCAGTAGAATCAAGCACATAAATTATGTCTCCAGCAGAAAATGATAATTCATTATCCTCGGCTGCTTCAAAGTCATATAAAGCTTTTACCTTCTTTAAATATGCTCGTTGATCAGATTCGACTGTTGTTTTTTTCTGTGCAGAACGTTCATTTTCCATTAAACTGAGTTCAATTGCTTTAGCTATATCATCTACTTCTTGTAAAGACACCAAATCTTTGGATTTACCTACTTTTAAAGAGTTTTCATCTGAAACCGATGAAAAATCAATTCCTTCTTGTTTTAATTTAGTGTACAATGAAGGTATAAGATTTAACTGTGGATCACTTTTAAATTCATTTTCAGCCCATTTTTTTAAAAGTGATTTTAATTTGTCAGCCACTTTCAGAGGTAAATTACTTTTGGTCAATAGTTTACGAAATTCTTGTTCAAAATGTCTGGAAGCCACTTCTAGTAGAAAATTCTTTCCACAGTTATTAACACAAGCATCCAGAAGTGTAATGGCCTGAAGTACAACATGTGGGTCTTGGTTGTACAGTCTTTTAATTATTGATTTAAAACAATCTTTGGCATGAACTGATGAAGCTCCAACTTTATCACATATTTCCATTATTAATGCCCAATCTTCTGTTGTAGTGGTGCCACTTGTTGCCTTTTCGACCGCACTGTCAAATGGAGATCCCAACAAGAAAGACCCCATCTTAAATATTGCACTAGAACAAATAAGAACAATTTAATAGCAATCCCACACTAAATTAATATATAATAATTAAAATTCATAATAACAACTATAAATTTTATTTTATCTATTTATCTTTCTGAATGCTATAATAATCAAATATAAAATTTAAAAATCCATCTTTAAGGTCTGATTTTTTTATTTATCCTATTCTAAATTATTTTGTGCGCTATAAATTTAAATATTCGTCACAGACTCACACAAATATTTGACTACGTAAAAAAGACTAGGGACATAATATAAAACTGTTTATTATATTTTAATTAACCAGCTGAGAATTTAATCTTGTTAAATTAGTAATGTTTTAGTATTTACAGTTGAATAATTATTTTAATAATTTATACAATTATTTATTTTTTAAAAGTTAATAAGAACATAAAATAATAATTTTCCAATAAGATATACATGTAACATATTTATATATAATAATAGGTAAGTATTTGTACATTTTATTTTGAATATTTTGGCCACAAAAACAAAAACAACTGAATAAATATTTGATTTTATATACGTACATAGTATCTAGGTATTGTTTGTAATAATATTGTAATAAAATAATAAAGCAAAAACAAAATTGTTAAAATGGTTAACACTCGTAAATAAATGTTTATTGTGTATATATTATGTTTTTTATCTGATCTATCTAACACAAAACAAAAAATAAAAGTGTTTAATGTGAATAATAAAAATACGCAGATGTTTATTATAATATGTAATGATTAATAATGCAATGACTAACAAATATTTATCTTTAATCCTTTGATAATGATGTTGACAATTACTTTTACGCTTTTCAAATCACTTTATATGTTTAATAGGTACATAAATATTATACATAATAAATGTCAATAGTTGAGTCTTGATTATTCTAAATTAGAATAGTATTAGATTTGATATGAATAAAACTAAAATTTATTATTATTATTATTATTATTATTATTTTGAAATACAATATAAAAACTAAATGACAGTGATAATAAGCTAAATAAATTATTATTATTTTACACAGTAGCGCAAAAGTTCTAAAAATTTAGTTGGGCGAAATACATTTCAATGGCCCAAATAACTAAACACAGCCTATTTTATGTCCAAAATTATGATGAGCATAGGTTTTGATTTCTGTAAAAAGGGTATTAAATTAGTTTGAAAACCAAACATGACCAAGCGGACCTATGATTATTTTTTTAAAAAAGTCAACTCAAGATGCTTAACCTTAACATTGGGGTTGACACCACTGATTTTACACTGAGCTAGCTTGTGTAGGGGCTCATGCAATTGATTTTGATGTTAAAAATTGTCGTAAGTCCTAATAATTAGTCTCTTTTTTTTTTTCAAAAAAATATAATTTTACTATGTTAGTCTTTCATCAAAGTTTAAACCTAAGTATTTAACAGTGTCATGAGAAGGGGTAGGAAGATTATTTACAGTAATGTTAGGACAAAGTCCATGTCTTAAGATGAATGGATTTGTTATTATTTTATTTAATTCACTAGATTTGTGTACCATTCAGCAAAAAGTAGATTTAGATGGGGGTTGCAGATTTGACAAGACAATTACTGGATCAATATGTATTGATCATTAAAAATAATATTCTCAAAAAATAAAACTTTAAAAACTAAATTGCTAATATATAAATCTTCTGAAATCCATATGGACATATGGAATCCAACTATGGAGATTGGCAAAAAAATCAAATTAAAATAAAATACAGGCATTCCAAAATATTAACTTCGAAAAATTAGAACCCTTTGTCTATAATCTGACCCTACACAAAGACCTAAGCATCAAAACAGTAGAAGTTCTTATTTTCTATAAACAAATTAGATTAGAAAACCACAGACATCCTTTAATAAAAGGCTTACATATCCCGTCACTTCTTGGAAATTTCCGTTACAGACTCAAAAGAAAATGTTATAAAGATTTTTTAACTTAACACTATAATAACGTAAATTCCGAGTTAAGTGCTAATAATGGGTGCCTCCTTATTCACACAACCCCAATAATATTATATTTTTTTACTTCCTTTTTCACATATTTTACTGTGCTTAATTGTATAGATTGTATAAAAAATAAATCCTAATAATAATAAAACTATTAAACTACAGATAATTTGTAACTTCGTAAGTGTTTTACGAACAAATAATTAAATAATAGATAATCAAAAGAATAATAACACAAATATAAGGATACACCTAATAGTTTAAATAAATATTATGCAAACTCTAAATATCAAAAAAATATATTTTGGTTTATTTATATCTATTGTTGATAAATTATTAATAATACTATTTTAACTAAAACTGTCTAATAACTATTAAATCAATAGCCAATAGAAATATTTCTGTAATAAATCACATAGTTATAAAATGATAGTATAAAGAAATACAGCTATAACCTACTTACTATAGTTAGCAATATTGTAAATACTATAAAACAACAAAAATATTTTTAGTATTTATAGGCGATATAAACCTATATTATTACAACTCAAAAAAAATTTATCAAATCAAATTATAAATACATATTTAAGTACATAAAAAAAAATATATATATTTTTAACATTAAATCCCATTACTACATTTGACAAATCTAAACAAAATATTTCTTACAAAAAATATTAAGTTACCTACATATCTCTGGACGAATATCAGAAATGTGCATAAACATAGTTATACAAATAATCAAACTATTACTTTTCAATATTATATTCGTAAGAGTGTACTTTAGTTTACTTTCAAGGAAATTACATAATAATATGGTAAATTTAACATTTTACTTACAAAAATCCTTTAATTTAAGATCAAACTGCCAAGTCACAATGAACAATGTTCGATTGTATTAAAAAAAATTTACCAGAAACGAGTTCACCGAAATTAATACTAAAAATTGAATACTCTTCCTGTTACTGTAAAGGTTTTAGTTAAACAATTGTGCTCAATTAAAAGTATTATTTATTCATTCTTCATTACAAGATGTAATTATGACTGACAAAGGCGAGGCCGAAAGAGAAAATAATATCACAATGGTGATAAGGATAATCATTGTTCAATGATACTTATAGTCAATGATTGGTATAAACCACTGTACGATAACCTAAAAATAACGAAATGTAACTATTTACAATAAATACGATGGCGTCGATCTTTGATAACGAGAGTACCGAAAGTAGTAATACAAATATAATTTTTGTTATTACAAACAACACAAATACAAAGGAAGTCCAACTACAAGTCATACAGTGAGAAGTAATTTCAAATTTGAATATGCCCGAAGAAGAAGTTCCTACAATCGGTATTATTTATCCGCCACCCGAAGTAAGGAGTATCCTTTATCGACTGAAATAATTATTACCTACATTTATAATATTTTTACAGCAAAATTATCTTTTAGTAAGATACTTCTAATTTATTTATTTAATTGTTTTAGTTCCCTATTATTTAATGTAAGATTGAACATTTTATTTTAGATTTTACCTGTCGACTTCTTGAAATATCACTTGTAAATTTAAATTTGAACCTGGGTTACTTACTCTTCATCCAATTATTCTACCATTAAACAGTGGATATTTATATTGTATTACTTATTTCTAATTTGTTAATGGATGCTTAGTCCTGTCTTGTATTCGATTTGTGTTAATAATTTCTTAACTACCACTTAATAAAGATATTGTTGATAAAACTGCTAGTTTTGTAGCAAGAAATGGACCAGAATTTGAGTCACGTATTCGTCAAAATGAATTGGGAAATCCCAAATTCAATTTTCTTACCCAAGGTGATCCCTACCATGCATACTATGTACACAAAGTCAAAGACCTTAGAGAAAAAGCCGGTAAGTGTTTCTAATTGTTTTCATGCCTAGTAGGTACTTATTAACTATTATTATTTAGCGCAAGAACCAACTTTACCACCAAAAGAAACGAAAAGTGTATCAACAGCTACTCAGCTTAAACAACAAGAACTCCTGAAACAAGTACAGGAAGCAATATTTATACCAAAAGATCCGCCAGAAGAATTTGAATTTGTTGCTGATCCTCCATCAATATCAGCTGTAGACTTGTAAGTAGTTCTATCAAATTAAAACTTAAACTAAGTATCATGATGTAAGCTTTTTGCTCATTGTTCAAAATATTTAAGATAGGTATTTTAAGTGCAGATATGTATCCTATTTAAAATCAGCTAATAATTTTTTTAAATTTCAGAGACATAGTAAAACTCACAGCATTATTTGTTGCTCGTAATGGCAGACAGTTTTTAACCAATCTCATGGCTAGGGAGCAACGTAACTTTCAATTTGATTTTTTACGCCCACAACATTCGTTATTTCAATATTTTACTAAACTCCTTGAACAGTATACCAAAGTGCTGATACCTCCTAAAGATCTCATGAAATCGCTAAAAGAAGAAAGTTTTGACAAACAAAAAATTTTGGATGATGTCAAATATCGTTCTGAATGGCAAAAACATCAAGATGCTTTACGTAGAAAAGAAGAACAGCTTATAGAAAAAGAAAGATGTAAGTTTTCATTGAAATCTAATAGGAACTTAGCGTCCAATTTTTTTTGCTTGGAGATTAACTAAATCGATTAACAATTACTCAGATAGTTTTGTTAAAAAGTTTTCTTTTTTATAAATGCGTAAAATAATTAATTTTTTAATTTTAAAATATTAGATTATTTTTAACAATGGAAGTATTCAAGTAAAATCTGTTTGTTTTGCTTAATTACATAGCTTGCCAATGTGTAAAAAAAAAAAAAAAAAAGTGCCTTCTGTTAATAATGTATTAATTTATTTTTTAGTGGCTTATGCTCAGATTGATTGGCATGATTTTGTTGTTGTTGAAACTGTGGACTTTCAATATGGTGAAATTGGTAATTTCCCTCCGCCAACTACACCTGATCAAGTTGGTGTACGTACATTAATGCAAGAACGGGTTGATAATGGAGAAGAAACAATTGAAATGAGTGATGCAGAAGAAGACATGCAAGTAGATAGTGATGATGAAATGGAAAAACGAGTTGGTGGTCGAATGTATGCACCAGAAAGTGAACTAAGGGTACCTGGTGAAGAAAAATCTAGTAGAGACAACAATCAAGTATGCTTTGAAATTTATATTTATAATTTATGCAATTTTTATTTGTATATTAATTTACAAAAACTAAAAATAGGTTCAAGATATGGATGAATCGTCCAGTGATGAAGATGGTGATTTACCACCAGGCGTTTCAAAAACTGAAAATCGTTCAAACCAAATGACTCAACCACCAGTTCCAGAAAAAGTTATAGTCAAAAAAGGATATAATCCAAAACAAAGTAAAATTAAGTTTTTTTAATAACTGCATATTAAATACTTATCTAATTCAATCATTATTTGAATGTGTTATTAATAGTTGTTCGAGCACCAGTTAAAGCACCTCCTGAAGAATATTTAATATCTCCAATCACTGGTGAAAAGATACCAGCAAGTAAAGTCCAAGAACATATGAGAATTGGATTGTTGGATCCACGTTGGGTAGAACAACGAGATAAACACATCAGCGATAAAATGAACCAAGAATCTGTATATGCTCCTGGTAACATATTTTTAAGAAATATTTTATTATCTAATATATATATTTATGTAAAATATTTGATTGCAATATTTTTACATTCTGGTAAATTCAATTGGAAATCTTACTTCAATCAATAAATGACAAGGGTACTTATTTTGCATTTTGGATCTAGTTGAAACATTAGGAAAGTCGTTTTTTGATTTTCAGAGTAGTTTTCTTTAATAATTAATTAGGAAAAAACTGACAAATTTCATTATTTTCAATTTTTTTTTTTCTATCAGAAAGTTTAGAAAATGTTTTGAATGAGTGTCTTTTTTTAAAAAGAAAACAATTTTGTTTAGTAAGAGGTTGTATGTTTATATTCATGTAGTTTTCTTAATAATTAGGAAAATATAAGAAAAAGTGAAAGTTTGCAGAAATAACTGTTTCATTATTTTCGATTTTACTTTTACTTTGTAATTTGGTAATAAATAATTGTAGAGACATGCCATTTTCACAGGACACTTTTATTGGACATTTCCAGATGATAAAATGTTCAAACAATTTTTTAGTTTTCTTAGTTTTTTATGTGGAAAAAATGTATTTGCTGAAAAAAACAACGCTTATAACTGAAATAAGAAATTCATTATAAGCTAGTTGGACTAAACAGTCAGTGAAAAAGTTGATTTAATTTTGGTTTTTTTTTTAATCATTCTAAGTAAATTTTAACAAAAATAAGAATTACGGAATTTAAAACATTTACAACCAAACTTTATCCAGTATCATGTTTTGTAAGTAATGATGTGTAGTTGCGTACAGATAAAATTTAAATAATTTTTTGTTTCCTACCTTTCCAACCTCTCACCTATACAAATTGTATGCAATTTCTTTCCTTATTTAACTAATATTCATGTATAGGAGCTGCTATTGAGGCAAGTTTGAAACAATTGGCTGAACGTCGTACTGATATTTTCGGTGTTGGAGTTGAAGAAACTGCTATTGGTAAAAAAATTGGAGAAGAAGAAACTAGAAAAGATGATAAGGTAAGTTATGTAAAAGAAAATTTAGAACTACTTAAATAATATCTAATTTGATTTTATTAGGCTACTTGGGATGGTCACACATCTAGTGTGGAAGCTGCGACTCGTGCAGCCCGAGCTAATATAACCCTAGAAGATCAAATTCATCAAATACATAAAGTGAAAGGTTTAATCCATGATGACGAAAAGGAAAAAATTGGCCCAAAACCTGTTACTGGTACAGTAACTATTTCTCATCCACCGACTTCCCAGGCGGTTTCTGTTCAAATGTCTATGGCTAATAATATGCAAAATGCAATGATGCAACCACACGCGCCTCCTAATATGATGCAATCGCAACCTATGATGATTGTTCAGCAGCAACAACAAATGATTGGTGAGTTAATTATTATGTCTAACATCTCATATTAATACGTTAACTGCTACGCCTATTTCAGTGTATTATCCACTGAGGTCACAATATTTTTTTAAAACTATTAACTTATTTCTTTTATGATTATTAGTCATAAATCTATCTTAAAACCATTTTATGCGTTGATTCACCTGTAGAATGTGAGGGATCATGAAGTCCTTCAGTAGTGCAAAATATGTGAATCGCATATTTCTTGCTTTTAAGGGGTGTTTTGACCCCTCAACTAAATTAAAGATATAAATCATGAAAATCTGTATTTCACTAGTAAAGTTAAAAATATTTAAATCCATTCATAAAAAATTAGATGTTATTAGTAAAATAATTTTATCTATAATGAAATATAAAATAAATATCTGCATTTTAATTAGTAAGACATGTTGTAATATAACATAACAATTTTGGCACTTTAATAATTTACCTTCACAAAAAATATTATAGGTAATGATAATACATAATAATAGTGGTAATATAAAAAGGAAATATTTATATTTTATTTTTAAATCTAACTGAATGAGAATCAAAAAATCATGTCATACAGTAGGAACTTTACACATTGTAGTGACTGACACATTTATTTTGAGCTTTTTTCTGCCATACTCTGACTCAAATTTTTTGTAACAATTGACACATTTTTTACGAGGAGAATTTTTTTTTTTCTAAAATATAATTGTTTGAAATTTGTAGTGCTTGGAGATTCAGGTTTTTTAATTAAATGAAGTATTATTTGTTCCTTGAATTCTGTAATTTTAATTTTTTTATTATTGACTGTACAAAATAGTGATAAGACATTAGTCAGACAAGTACCAAGCAAAATATCAAAAGCAATTTTGCGGTACCATTTCAAACTTCTTTTCAAAGGTGTAGAATGATGTCATTTGGTCACTTCTGTTAATAAAACTTTTCCCCTGATTATATTCAATGACCATGTCAGGTTTATTAATGGTTTGATTTCTTTTGGTTATTACTGTGGTTTTATCAACGTTTTGTACTCAACATTAGGAGATCCCTTTTGTCTTTCCATTTGAACATAACTACATTAGTATAACTTTGTTGTGCAATAATTTTACGTTTTTTAATTTTTTTGTTTGTGATATCTTTTGGATTGCCATTTCTGTTTGCACGTAAAGTACCTACAATATGAGTTTATGCTCATTTAATTTGTGAGCTAAGGTTACACTTGTGTACCAATTATCTACAAATATAATTCGTCCAAAATTTAAATATGGTCTCATAAGTTCTAACACAACTTTAGTTGATACTGCAGTTTCTGCCACCATTTCTTTATCAGCATAAATTTTGTATTGACAAGTATAATAATCATCTGCACACAATTTAAATATTTTGATCCCATAATTATGTTTTTATTTTTCAAATATTGGCGAAATTTAATAATATTTATTGCTAAATGGAGCATTTTGTTCTGTGGATAACAGAGAATCTGATAGTGTGTTATTTTGACGGTTCCTGAGGTCCCACGAATCGACAAAGACAACATAGCCTTGAGGGACAAATTGACCCCTCATGGCCCACTTATAAATACTACTGAGGGACAAAAATGACCCTCGTGGCAGTCAACGTGTTGTTAAAAATCAAATGTATGCCTAAATAATTGCCTGGTTAATATGCAAAATACTAAATAGATGTTTAACACTAAAATAAATTTTATATGGTATATTTATGTACCAAATTGTATGGTTCATGTTTGATTTATTTCCTTCGCATAATAATTAATAGTACTTTTGTTTTTAATGCATTTTTAATATTTATTTATTTTTGAAGTTTTTTTATTTTTTTATGATTCTAAAACTAAATCTTAATATTATATTGTAAAAGTAAACTCTTAATTTTATAACCTCACTGACCCAAACACATTTTACCTAACCTGCCATTTGCGCTGTCATTAACATTAATCTAGAAATACTTATTTTTAATGAAATTAATCATTGTTTGATAAAAAAAAGTTAAACTACTATTAAAAGTTTTAAGGAATATATAATCATGTCTATAGTGTAAAAATGAAATACATTTTAAATATATTTCTAAACAGTGTCTAAAGTTATTTTAAAATAATAATAAATTGTATTATGAATATGTTTTTAGTTCCTCAGCCTCAAGCTTATCAAGTTATGCAACCTCAAATGCCACCAAATCCATTTTTGGGTGCTGCTAGAGGTATGATGCAACCACCATTACCACAAGGACCAGTACGTATAGAAAAATTATTTTCATTTTGTTTACTCTTTATTATTACCAATTTGTATTACTATTATGTTTAGCCTGGAATGAAGCACACAATGGAATTGCCTCCTGAAGATGAACCACTTATGAAAAAAATGAAAACTGAAGAATCATTAGAGCCAGAAATACAGTTCATGATGAAGTTTAATGTTAATATGTCTACCATTTATTACATATATATATATAAATATATTTATTTTTTTTTGGCACATAAGCTTAAATGTTATAACATTTTAGGGTCCAGTTTTATTCAATGTGGCGACACCAGTTCTTACTGACAAACCAGAATGGTCTCTTAATGGACAACTATTGAATATAACATTATCATTACAAGATACAGTGGCTATAATTAAAACAAAAATTCACGAGTTGACCGGAATGCCACCCGGCAAACAAAAGTTGCAATGCGATGTATGTTAATTAATCTCAACTTAAAAATAACAAATTTATTTTATTATAATTTATTTTATTTTAGGGATTGTTCTTCAAAGATTCAAATACGTTAGCTTATTATAATATAGGACCAGGTTCAACCATTCATTTACAATTAAAAGAACGTGGTGGTCGTAAAAAATAATCTATAGAAATTTAAAGGTTTTTAAATATTTGTATGCATTATGTTTAACGTATATAAATATATTTATTTTATAAAATAAAAATTGTATTTTTAATACATGTGAATTAATTTTGTTCTCAAGTGAAATAAAATATTTTATTTTTCAGTTTCAGATGTCAACTCTTTTATTATTTTATTGTATCGCTCGACCATTGGAGTGTAAATCTAAAAATAATAACAATAAATTATTAATTTAACTTGTGTACATATGTGTTCTAATATAAATACTTACTGCAAATGCGTCTTTGTGAGGCGAACATGCTAATTTGGGTGGAGCAACCATGCTCACCACAGACTGAAATGAATCATCACAATCAGTATTCCTGCTTCGCACAAGGCCATGTTTTGCTTGATAAGCTGCTCCCAGAACTGCAGAATTGACAGCTTCCTATAATTACTACATTCATTAAAATTAAAATATCCACACAGAATAGAATAATTTATTAATATACAAACTTGTGTATAAACTGGTGCATTAAAAACATCAGATAATATTTGCAATATTGTGTTGTTGGTCGAAGCACCTCCAGTAGCTATGATCCTCGTCTTAGTATCTATAAAATGATAACAATATTAAAGTTAATATATTAATACTTGGTTTAATATTCAAATGTAAAATTTAAACACCTATGTTGTATCCTAAAAATTCGGCGTGTGCTCTTTTAGCAATAAACTGTCCCTCGATCAATGCTTTGATTTCGATTTCTCGACTGGGAAATCTATCCATAAGAGTATCATTTTTATCAAAACGATAGTCTCCGTGAATCCACGGAATGATTTCTTGCTCGTCATAATATAAACCTAAATATCCAAAATTTCCTCTGGGTGTCCTTTCCAATAGAGTATTGAAATCATCCCACGATTCATTGGCATAATGGTTTCTCAATCTTTCGCGTGTCAACGAGCCATTTTTGAAACTTTATGACCACATTGAACATAAATGTTTACTACAATAAATAATTATTAAAGCTAATATGAATTAATAATAATTACCACAATAGCACCATGTAAGCATCTTCATTTATCGGACTGACTAGAACGTGTCCCTCGGTAAGACACCTAGGTTCATCAAGTGATAAAAACAGTGTATCACTAGTACCTAGACTTATTGCTATGTCATTTTTGCTTAGGCATAGTCCAGCTAAGGATGCTGGATTATCACCAGTAAAAGACACGACTCTGCATTCTGAATTGAATCCAAACCTCTCCACATAATAGTTATTAATTGGACCTAAATCTGTACCTGGCGGCACAGTTTGTCCTAATCTGGATTCCAGGCCTGGCGCACACGCCTAAATTTAACATAAAACTTTAGCAACATTTCTAGTTAACCAATGATATGATTAACTACAAATTACTTCTAAACATTTATTAGACCATTTCTTTGTTCTTATGTCCAATAAATTCATTCCCGAACCGTCTGACCAGTCAATTGGAGCATAAGCGCCGAGAAACAACGAACAACCAAAACTGCTCACCAGCGAAATTCTCTAAAATTATAATTAAAAACGATTTATTAAATTCGCTTTTTCGGTCATTTGAATACTGAGATAATAATATTTATTGTCTAACTTCTGTGTTCTGATAGGCTCCTGGTCTGTTTTCTGCCATTTTGGCAATCTGTGGTCCAGAAAATCTCTCGTATGCCTTTGACCCGGTCAAATCAGCTAATTGCTAATAAATAGGTAGTATATTATACTAAAATAGTTGCATATAAATTTAATTCACGCTATATAATTTTACATATAGCTGAATATAATTATCCGAAGACAATTTTACCTGAGATCCACCGATAGTTTCTTCGAGGTATTTACACTGTTTAGTGGTACTAGAGTCCATCCAAATCGGTGAATTCACTATGGAAAAACACGACGCCAATTGTGTGTGCAAAAATCCGGATGGGTTCAACGATTTTAGCGTTTTTTCTGAACCATTTGTCCAATAAACTGTGCCGTGTTGCTATTAAGTACATACAGAATTGATTTTAATTTTCATTTGTATTCCATATTTTTGAAAACGATAATTTATATAATTAAATTAAAATTTGTATTTTATATATATTGTTATCAGGGCCGTATTTAGGGGGGAGTTACAGGGTGCCGTTGTCCTGGGCGGCCAAATTTTTTATATTTTCAATATTTAATGATCTAAATTTAAAAAAATTTAAATGTATTAATAATATACACAAATACAATATATATACATAATATCATATATATGTATATACAATATACCTATTGTTTTTAAATATGTATTTGATATAATGAGGCGTTTTTTTTTATTGCCCCCTGGTGTCAAATTCCTAAATACGGCCCTGATTGTTATGGAATCTTACTAACAAATCTGTACAGAGTGTACCACTAAGATAATATGATTATTGCGATATCTTGGATAGCAATACATTTTTTCAGATTTTAGATTCTGAGTAGAGCGAAGAAGATTATNTTGGTTGGATGGTTCTTGAGTTTGGGTTGCGATGTCTTTGAAGCTTCTTGTAAATTTGGCATCCTTTATAGTTTGCAGGGTGTTCATCCTGACATAGTGCGCATTTGGCGGGAAGATTTCGAGACTTTATACATGCTGAGGTGATGTGATGCTCAGCACATCGAACGCATCTTGGTGTATGTGCACAGTACATTTGTGTATGGCCGTACTGACCGTATGGCAATTCACACATTGTACTAGGTCACGTTTTTTATATGATTCTTCGATTTTTTCCTTGGTATGAAGTATGTGGTTTAAGTGAAAGATATCTTTATTTAACTCCGAAGGTTCAAGGTCAACAAAGAATATTGGAAGATTTAATTTTGTAGTCATATGTAGGACATTTGTGATTTGGCGTACTTGAAAATCGATTTCTTCTAAAGCTGTTCTGATTTCTGCTGTGTTCGTTGTTGGGTGAAGGTTTCTTATAACTATGCGGTAAGCTTTGTCTTCTTGCATTTGATAGGTATGGAATTCGGCTTTTGCACCTTGTGAGAAATGGATCATTGCTCGGTAGGATTCTGGATTTTTCGTTTGGACTTTGAGGCAGTTAATGCTTGACTTAAATGTGAAGTTTTCAGGACCCACAAGGTCTATGAGTTCCGAGCGTAGGCTTACAAAGTCTTTAATTCCTTTGACTATTATAGGAGGGCGTAGATTTGCACTTTTTACCGGTGAAGTATGCGCTTCAGGGTTGCTTACATCTGGATCTGGGTTTGGTGATATTGTGTCGACTTCGATTGCTTCAGTTTGCGATAGAGCTTCAAAACGATTTCTTGAAATAAATAGTTTTTTGTGTCTGATGGTATTTTGGGTTGGAGAGGTTGGCTCTGAGGAAGTTGAGAGGTTTCTTTTTCCAGTTTGTTGTATCCAGCCATATTTATGTATTTATACATTTATTGATATATTTATATCCAGGACTATTTGAATTATTTTGTGTGGATGAAATGCTCGCGTTGGGATTATTTGTTAATATGTTTAGGCGAGCATTATGTATAACTGTTTTATTATTTTTATTATTATTACTAATATTTTTATTTTTAATATTAGTTTTTTCATTCGGCGATAGTGGTATGTTTATCACGGAGACAAACGTCGCGCACCGCTGCTGTACGGCGTTCGCGATATCGCGACAGCTGTATGGTAATTAAGACACTGGAATTATTACAAACGAACTTGATTCACATTATGGAATAGAATTACCAATATATATATAATAAATATAACATTCGTTATGTATATGTATATATTATAAAAATATAAATAAATAAATAAATTATAAATAAATAAATAAATAAATTAATTAATTAATATGTATATAAATTTGGGAAAATATTGAATGTATATGACCTAAATCACAGCGGTATTTAACGGAGCAACAGAAAAGGCGTGCGTTAGGTATGACTGCTCGCACGAGACTTACATTTTTTAAATGAAATAACGCTCATTATTTTTAACACCCACAGAACCAAATAATCTTGTTTTTTTTTCAAGCAACATTGAATAACACGATTTCTATTAATCTTAATAATCGCTCGAGATAAAAATATATCTAGTTTTTTAAATATGATTGTTCAACAAATTATGTTTAAAACGCATCATGTTGTTTTAACATTTCGAGAATTTGATCAATCCGAGTATTCGCTACACCCGACATTTTAAAAAAAAAAAAAAAAAACTTAATACCATATTCAGTCTAAGCCGTTCCGCCAAAAATTGTTCGTGGTAATACATTTGCAAAGGTAAAACGCTCTATATCATAGGATGGCGGCTGCAGTGTCCATTAATTTAAATAAAAAACTATTTGTATCGTTTCTTTTTCGGATTGCAAAACGAGTGAATAATGCAACCAGTTTCTGTTTCTCGTCGCACTGTATATGTTATTATATTTTATAGGTATTAACTCGGCTAATAAGCCAATCTATAGTGGCGGACGTTGCTGTATTATTCATATGGGTCAAAACATTTATACTTACTCTACCTACTGTATTTTTATGAATTTGTTTTTTTTTTCGCTCTGATATAATGATATATATATATAGGATTATTACAAATTGTAAATTTTCTTTTCATCGGCCGTCCAATTTGAATAATTACAATACAAAAAGAAAGATACTACAATAATTTTATGATCTTATACGGCTATCTGAAATTATCGTTGAATATGTTATGTGTGGATTTAAACCGAAAATTACGAGGTAGAATTTGTATGAGTTTGTAATTACTTATTTTTTTAATATTCGTATTATTGCAATATTATGTGATGGTTTGACAGACCGTGTTATTTGTCAAGTCATGTTAGATTTCAGCTTGTCTTATTAAAGCGGATGCAATATAATTTACACGAATTTTGACGTTGCCTGCATTCCTATTGCACAATTGAATATAACCTCATTATATCACATAAATCTTCTAAAACAACCTATTATAAGATTTTTTATTTTTTTTTATGACCATTAATAAATACTTTTATAGGTCGGGATTTATTACTTTCCAATCAATCAATTTTACAGAGTTAATATAAAATCAATATCATATAAATTTTACAATATTTTAATAGTATTGCAGTCTAATAACATAACGAATTATCCGTAGGTATCGAGTTATTTTTTATCATAACATATACGTCGTCTTTGTTTTTTTTTATAATTATTACATGTTCAAATTATAAATAAATTTACAAAACAAACGTGGTTACTAGTTACAGCACCTATAATACGTAAATATTATTACGATATCGTTTTGATAGAAACAATTCAACATTATAACAGTTCTGTTTTGATTTTTGGATATTAATTATCTCTACCTATTTGTACATGGAATCGTAAATCTTTTTTTACTACTCATTTGTACTTATCTATTTTCTACGCTTGCACTTACANTTTATTTAAGTGACAAGCAAAACCATTAATTACATTTTTTTATTTAAATCAATAAATTTATAACTTTGAATAATATTGTGTATAATTCAATAATAGAGCGCAGACGTAATAAAACATCATGGAAAACGAAATAGGATCGGACATTGAACTGATCGAAGATGAGAATATGCTACGGAAAATGGTACGACATGATTAAATTTGTTTAAAAAAAATCTAGTTATTTTCTTTTCTTTTCTTTTAGTTGGAAAAAACCGAGGACTATAGAAAAAAGAAAGAAATTCGTATGAGAATGTTTAAACTTCGGGAACAACATCTTAAAGAACTTTACACAACGGAAGATATGATTCAATCTAATGCTACATCGGAACGCTTTTCGACAAGCACACATACAAAATCTATGACGGATCAAGGATTTATAACGAAGAAAACGAAAGAGATTAACCATTCTGAATCACCCTCAGAAGGCTACCGAAAAAAATTAAATACTAATACTAACTTTCTAGTTAAAGAAGTAAAACCCAAAGAAAAATCTCTAGTAAAACTACGAGAAAATGTTTCAATTAAAGAAGTAAAACCACGAGTAAATACTTTAATAAAAAAAATAAAACCATCTTCTGACGAAGGAGATGAAAAATATTTAGATGATAAAACTACACTCACAGTTGCTGATAGAGTGTCTAAGTTTTTTAAAAATGTTACCACAAAAAATGAAGAAAAAACTAAAAAGACCGTAAAAAATCTTAAGGACGAAAAATATGAAACAAAAATTACACACATTGATGTTCACGATTCATCAAAGAATGCAAACATACACAACACCGTTTTGACACGGAAGATTTCAGGAGCGTCTGGCTATAAAGCCAGAAAAGATTTTTTTGAAAACAAAATGCTAAACTATAATTCGGAAATAGAAATGCCTAAAATTACCCAAAACATTACAAAACAAACAACACCAGTTACAAAATGTAGATCACCTGACCAAATCATCAAAAGCCCAATAAAAATTATGAACACAGAAATATTCGATGTAAAAGTTGAGGAAATCAATGAATCTAGAAGAATTTCGGGATCAAAGACTATAAAAGATAGAAAAGCAGCTTTCGAAAAAGTCGATGTTGCTGAGAACCCAGCTAGGGAAAATGAAATTGCCCAAAGAAATCAATCTTCAATTTCCGTAATGAATACAGATAGACTCTTGGAAATATATACTAAATCAAGTGTGGTTCCTGACAAACCTTCAGAGAATGTCTCTACCAGAAAAGTTACAAGTCCGAATATCAGTGAAAAAAGCGAAGAAAAATCTAAAACCTTTAATTCCATCAATAAAGTTAGTGAGAGTGCAGGCGAAACAGTTTCGTCAAACAGTGCGGACAAAAATGTTGCAGAAACTCACAGAAACAGAAAAAAGATTGAAGAAATATTTGATTTGCACGTTTTAGAGCTTATGGTAAATATACAAATATAATATACGTATTACTATAATTATAAATTAATAATGTTAAGGACTTAAGTTAATAACTAAGTAAGGTAAATTTAATAGCAATTAGATTCTACTTCTTTAAATGGGTAATAAGATACAATAATTGCCAATGTGATTATAAGGGTGGACTAATAAAAAAATTTTTTCGAAGAAGTATGTTTATATTTAATTTATACACAAAAAAATTTCACTTTGCGAACAGCTGTATTATAAAAATAACGCAATTAATTTGTATGTATTTTATACATTTTTTCACGCTATGAATTATAGCTAACTTAAAATTGCATAAAACTAAATGATCAGAAATTAATAATGACAAATATGGTCCTATTAGTTGATAAGCAAATTAATCAAAATTGACAAAATTATTAACTATGAAAAGCAAATGATAACATAATGTTGGTAAATCATCGGCCAGAACTCCCCTAGAAAAAGTTTTTAGATAGTCGAAAAAATTTCAATATTTTCCTTATTAAATTTATCAATAATCTAATAATACATGAAAAACAAATAAAAAGTAAAAAATAGACAATAGAAAAAGAATACAGTATTTTTTATTTTTACTTGTCATTTACCTGAAGATCGAAAAGTCTTTGTTTTATTAGCTGCCCGTTCATATGAACATTAACATGACTTATGAGGATAATTTACTGTTCTGTTTCAANTTAGTGATCAACAATGTTTATAAATATTATAATTCATGTAATGGAATGTTACACTACCTACTTTTGATAACTTAAAATAAACTAAATAAAAAAACTCATTTTATAATTGGATATCATATTTATATATAGTAGGTATAAATTATCAATACCTTTTAATAAACACTAATTTGAATAAAAGTTAGTTGGATGGAAAATAAAATTCTAAAAAGTGAACCCCATTGCCCATATACACCATATGCTAAATATGTCAAAATTATTATACAAATTACAATTTTAATTCAATACGTATTTATTTGGTTTTTTTTTTCTTATGAATACTATTAAACACTGAAAATAAACATGATCATTTCAGAATTAATTAATATGGAAATTTTTTCGACTATCTAAAAACTTTTTCAAGGGAAGTTCTAGTTGATGAATTACCAACATTATGTAATAATTTGTTTTTCGTTGTTTATAACTTAGTCAGTTCCTTGTTAAATTTAAATCCTTTAGATTTGTGCCAATTTCAGTTATTTATGATTAAAATCAAGAAAAAGTAAAATACATATCAAATTTTCAAACATTTCTGTAAAGTCTAACAATTGTATCCACAGAATACTTACTGAATGAAAATGAACAATAAATTTAGCAAAATAAAAATATCTGTAAATAGGTTAAAAATTAATCATGTAATTTTAAAATTTTACTACGTCACCAACTGGATTAAAACTTCAACAAAAATGACATAAATGTGTATTTATTTAATTTTAAAATTTATCAATCAAAAAATAATGTGTTAAACAAATAAAACAATTTCTAATTCGATACATATTTCTACATTTATTAAATTTTATTATATGTTTGTTTAGCTTGAAAAGGCAATGGGTTACGATCAAAAAAGACGAGTAATAGCGCAAATACGAAGTGTTAAACGTCGGCTTGAACCAACAATACGTGGAAAGGATACAACAAAAAGTCCTGAACCAGTACCAAAAACCAAATCTATTATAAAGAGACATATTGAAGAACCTAATGTGAATGACGAAAAATATGAAATAAAAATTGCACACATTGATGTTCACGATTCGTCAGAAAATACAAACATACACAACCCCGTTTCGACACGGAAGATTTCTGGAGCGTCTGACTATATATCCAGAAGAGAATTTTTTGAATACAAAAAATTAAATAATAATTCGGATATAGTTATTCCCATAACTACCCCAAAGATAGTTAGATCATCAATAATAAACCTCCGTGCTTCATTTGAAGTAAATGATGACAAGAAAACACTATTAAAAGACAAATCCAACGTTCCAAAACAAACAACGCCAGATACAAAATGTAGATCACCTGACCAAATATTCAAAAGCCCGATAAAAATTATGAACACAGAAATATTCGATGTAAAAGTTGAGGAAATGAACAAATCTAGAAGAATTTTGGAATCAAAAACTATGAAAGATAGAAAAGCAGCTTTCGAAAAAATCGATGTTGCTGAAACACCAGCTAGGGAATATAAATTTACCCTAAAGAGCCAATCTCCAATTTCCGTAATGAATACAGATAGACTCTTAGAAATGTATAATAAATCAAGTGTGGTTCCTGATAAACCTTCAGAGAATATCACTACTAGAAGAGTTACGAG